CCCCCATTCCCCTTTGCCGGGGGGGGGTCTGGCTTCTGCCCCAACCGGGCTTGCTGTCTTGGGGGAGAGGGTGGCCAGGACGGTCCAGTGCTGCTCCCCCTGCAGCTCTCTTCCTGGCCAGCCCTGGGTGGGGAGCCCCCCCCCCCATCTGTGGCTTCCCTCCTGGGCTCCTCCCGCAGCCCCTCCTTTCAGTCTTTCTGCCTCCCTCCCATCTTACCCCCCTCCACTCTCCTGCTCCTTCGGCTCCTGCTCCCAAAGAAGCTCTGCCTCCTGCCCTGGCCTCCCCCTGCTTCTGTCCCCTGACCACCCCTTTCCCTCCGCCTCCCCTGAAGGGCCGCCTGGCCTGTTTCACCTGCAAGGTCCACACTGGGCGTACGCATGGCCCCACCTTCCTGTGGATGCTGGTTCTGGCCTCCGATGTATGTGCACCCAGTGTCCCTGCAGTGCCTTGGAAGGGCCCGTCTGTCCCAAAAGGTGATCCGGGGCGTCCAAGAGGCAGCTGCCCTCTGCTCCTTGCCCTGCCCTCCTCTCCGAATTCTCCAGCCCCCACGTTATACCTCCTGACTCCGGGGTGGCTTTTCTGAGTGCCTCTTTTCGTCAGTTCCTCCCTGGCACATGATAGGATGTTCTTGTCTCTCTTTCTCTCTTTGCAGGCTAGAGAAGAAGGAAGCCAGCGTCTCTGCCATCCCCCTGTGCTGTTCTGGGATGGTCCGCGTGGGAGGATGAGTGAGCGGCCAGAGGGCTCGGTTTCCTGCTCTCTAAAAATGTCCTGGGACTCGGAGACCTAGAAGGAAGCCTTTGCCGGCTGCGCTGGGTCTTCACAAAAGTGGGCAGCGGATCTGGGGGCTCCGCGGCTTGGATTTCCACTTCAGCCGCAGATAGCGAAGCCGCACAGCGACTGTTGGGCTGCTCTTGGGTAGAGGAGCGTTTGTTTGGGGAGCGTGTCCAGCCTTGAGGCAAAGATAGGGTCTCCTGGAGCCTCACGCTTTGAGAAGCAGGACTCCCATCGGTGGGCTGGAAACCCAAGGGCGAGGAAGATGACGGAGTCCCAGGTGAAAAGTAAGTGCCGTGTGTGGAGGAGGCTCTCCGGCCTGGTCGCTCTTTCGGAGGCGGGAGGTGAGAGGGTTTGGCTGTGTGGGTAGTGGGCTCTGGGAACTGGCCTGAGGGGTGCTACGGGGGGGGGGCGGCGGCATGTTTATGGAGGCCTTCAGGTTGTAAAAATGATCTCTGTCATGGAGCCCTGTGGCTGGCTGTCTGTCTGGTCTGTCTCCCCTTCTCTCTGCATTACCCAGCTTGGGTCCTGACCAACTTAGCGGGAGCATTCCTGACCAGGGTTTCCTCTAAGCTGAATTAGTGTGAGCCAGCTCACAGCTTTTTAGCCTCCGGCTCGCACATTTTTGTCTTCGCTCGGGAAGGATGGGGCTCCAGAGCAAACTAATTTATGCAGCAGCCAAATCGCTCGCTCACAACCTTGATGCCAGGAGCTCACAAAGTAGAATTTTTGCTCACAAGACTCCACAGCTTAGAGGGAGCATTCCTGACAGTGTTTCTTCTAAGCTGATTTCCTGTGAGCTAGCTCACAGCTTTTTAGCCTCCGGCTCGCACATTTTTGTCTTCGCTCGGGAAGGATGGGGCTCCAGAGCAAACTAATTTATGCAGCAGCCAAATCGCTCGCTCACAACCTTGATGCCAGGAGCTCACAAAGTAGAATTTTTGCTCACAAGACTCCACAGCTTAGCAGGAGCATTGGTCCTGACCCAACTTGCCTCCTTCGTCCGTTCAGCTTCTGGCACCTGCCGATACAATTCCCAGAGAGGAAATGGTGTGTGGCTCCTGGTCCTGTTACAAGCGGAGGTTTTCGGGGGCCTCATCCCTCTTCTGTGCCCTGGGTGTAAAAAGGTGGCCTCCTGAATTGCCTGTGAATGATGGACCTTTCTTTTTCAGGCAGAAGGGAAAGGCGATCAAGGGCTGCTCGGGGCTGCCTTTGCCTGCAGAAGCAGAGAAGGTTTTCGTCCCCCGCTTTTCTTTACCTTAAGGAGTCACAGTCCCCTTTCCTTCCTCTCCCCACACCAGGCCCCTCGTGAGGCAGGTGGGGCTGAGAGGGTTCGGAGAGAACCGTGACCGGCTCAAGGTCACTCCGCTGGTGGAGGAGTGGGGAAGCAAGCCGCTCTTAGCCACGACACCACGCTGCAGTGCCATGAAGGGTGGCCAGCTGGAGGGCCTCTTGGTTGTGCAGCTCTGCTTACAGTGACCTAGAAACTGCTGCCTCCTGGCTCTTGAAGCAGGTGCGTGGCTTCGACGGGCACGGGGAGAGCTGTGCATAAGTACACAGGGTTGTATTTCCAGGCCACAGCTTCTCGGTGAAGCTTGCCTAAGCACTCTGGCTTAGCACTTCCTCTCCGTCTGGGATTGTGAAATTGGCTCGGCCTGGCATCTGAGCAGGGCACAGTGCGTCTTCTTCCTTCCCACCCTCTTGTGCAGGGGGCTGAGCAGTCCTAGGTTCTTCCAGCCCCAGGAGGCTGTAGGCTAGAGCTGATTCCAAGGTGATGGTGGGCCCAGGGTGGTCAAAATGTTTGCAGGTGGTCAGCCCCAGTAGTTCTCTGCGGCGGCCACGCTGTCGGTGTTTTTTTTTAATACAATAAAGTTTATTGAAATTTTAGTAAATTTGATAACATTACAAACACAGAAGCTTTCAGAGAGTTATACTAGTACATAGACAGAGTAGGAAATTAACCTGATACTGAACATTGTGGTGTCAATAACAGTTGTAGCAAAAAAGTGAGAGATATAAGGTACCATCTATAAACTTAACGTAAGGTCAGCAGATATGAAGGCTAGCACTAGTAGTCAGCTAGAATACATTGATAAGCATTACCGTAACCATAGGTCATCAGTTACTTTGGGGAGATCCTGTTGGTTGGAGAGGTAGGAAACCACGCTGTAATAAAAGTAGTAGGTATTGGATTTATACCCTGCCCTTCACTACCCAAAGGTGTCTCAGAGCGGCTTACAAACTCCTTTCCCTTCCCCTCCCCACAACAGGCACCCTGTGAGGTCGGCGGGGCTGAGAGAGCTCTGACACAAACTGCTCTTTCAGGAACAGCTGTGCCAGAACTTGTGACTAACCCAAGGCCACATCAGCAGGTGCAAGTGGAGGAGTGGGGAATCTAACCCAGTTCTCACAGATTATACTCCGCGCACTTAACCACGACACCAGACTGGCTCTCAGTCACGCTTTCGTTTTAGCCGCACTCCGTGAGCGTGTGCACGTGCATGCTTATCTGTGATGTCTGAACTGGCCCTCACAACGGGGTCCGGTCATTTGAGTCCTCCTGGGAAGCCTTGGTGGGGAAGGTTTTGTCCCTGGTCCTCTCTCCCCTCCCCCAGTTTGGGAGGCTTTGTGCGGCGGTGCTCAGCCGGTACCACCTTTGGCTCTCTTCCTGGTGCATCTTCTGTTCTTCTGAGCTTGCCAGTCAAAAGGGTTCTTGTGGTAGCTCCGCTGAAACAAACGGCTCTCTCAATAAAGGGGCCACTTAGAAATTCGTCTTGGCTGCCTGCAAGTGATGCAGCAATCCTGTGCGTGCCTGTGCCCCCTCCCTGAGGCATGCCAGTGGTACCTGTTCTGCCCTGAGGAAAGAGCAAAGAAGGAATTTTAACGTGTTTCCTGCATGCAATACAAGTTGCGGTTAGCACAGAGATGGTGGTTGTCGGTGAGCTGCTCCACTGAACAGAAGAGAAGCCAGTGCTGGATCAGGCCAATGGCCCATCCGGTCCAACACTCTGGTGACACAGTCACCAGAACCCAGGTGCCATCAGGAGGTCCACCAGCGGGGCCAGTACTCCAGAAGCCCTCTCACTGTGCCCCTCCAAGCACCAAGAAGACAGAGCGTAGACCTCGTGGTTAACATCCACTGATGGACCCCAGACACAGGTGTGGAGGAACAGACTCACAAGCCCTGTTCCTTTGGGTTCACAGGAGAACTGAAAACCCTACAGCTGTCTGCTTGGTAACACCTCGCCTTTCCCTTACTCCCGAAGAATACCAAATCCAAGCTAGGTAGTAACTGCTGTCGCCAGGAAATCAAGAGTATCTCCCACTGGACAGATGTGCATATTTAGCGGTCTACACCTGCATTGCAATTAGAGCCTGTCCTTAATTCTTAGGTTGACCTGTAACAGCTTGTACTGTTGCACCGATCGCCTGGGGCAGTACACGTGTACAAGGGTTCTTTAATACTCTATGTATACGAGGGTCAAATTGCGGGAGATACCAGTGGAAGGAAGAGACCTTTAATTGAATAAATGGAGTTTTATTATGAATAAATGCAAAGGTTATACTGCTCACTCATGCAAAAACAATAACATACATGGAGCTAGGAAGTAGAGAGGTGATCGATAGTGACAAGAAGGGGGTTGGTTTTAGATAGGGCAGTATTCACCTGATCCTCAAATCCAGAATCCACATGGAAGACAGAGGACATGGCCAGCCAGTGGTTCGTGTCAAAGGCTCAGACAGGGTCCGAAGGTCCACTCTTATGGGCCCCAAGTGATGCCCCCTCTAAGCTGCAGAGTCTTGTGAGCAAAAATTCTACTTTGTGAGCTACTGGCATTAAAGTTGTGAGCAAGCGATCTGCCAGTTTGGTGTAGTGGTTAAGTGCACAGACTCTAATCTGGGAGAACTGGGTTTGATTCCCCACTACTCTGCTTGCAGCAGCCAGATGACCTTGGGCAAGCCATAGTTCTGTCAGAGCTGTTCTCTCAAGGGCAGTTCTCTCAGAGCTCTCTCAGCCCCACCTACCTCACAGGGTGTCTGTTGTGGGGAGGGGGAGGGGAAGGAGTTAGTGAGCCGCTCTGAGTGAAGGATCGGGTATAAATCCAATCTCCTCCTCCTCCTCTGTGTAAATTAGTTTGCTCTGGAGCCATCCTTCCTGATCTAAGGCAAAAATGTGTGAGCCTGAGGCTAAAAAACTGTGAGCTAGGTCACACTAACTCAACTAAGAGGGAACACTGGCACTCCAAAAGCTATACAAAAATTGAGGCTTAGAGTACCAGTTTAAATGTGGTTTTTTATAAATAACATTTTTTTAAATTTTGTAATAAAACAGTAAACATATAGAACATTCAACATTAAAATACCATAGTATGAGAAATAGCAGTAACATGTCACAAAGAAAACACTTTTTTTGTTAGTTTAAATGTGGTTTGGGGAGCTAGAGGTGGGTTGGCCCGTGGTGTAATGAGTAGCCAGATTAAAACTTAGTATGTGCAGCAGGCTTGGCTTCACCAGTGTTTGTCTTTCTATGTGCCTTTGGCTCAATGTTTGTTGGGGGAAGGGTGTTAGACTTCTGGAAATGGCTTTGAGGAGATAGTTCGGTTTACCCAGATTAGTGCCCAGGTCAGAGGAGATGGGATTTAAGGATCAGTACATTGATGAAGGTCTTTGTTAATCATTGGCTGATCATGAGGTCCTGTGTACGTGCTCTTTCTACGAGACTCGGTTCCTCCTGATCTAGCTTAGCAGGTTCAAAATGGAGTCGTTTTCTGGCTCCCTGTTGCCTGCCCTTGCCAGACCAATACGAGGTGTGGAACCCTGGTCTTACTTGCCTCTCTGGCTGCCGGGTCCCTCCGACTTTTCCAGAGAGGGGGAGTTTACCACAGGTACCTCTGGGGAGGGTGACAGTACATATCACATTTTCATGTGCCCCATGGGGTGGTGAGTTTACCCAGTGTCTCTCTCCATAACTGTCCTTCAGCCCGCAAGACTGAATGGGTGTAGTGTGTTTCCAGGGATCAGGCTTAGAGCATTTAAAATATGAGAGTTTAATGAACAGAAATAGATTACACTTGTTCTGGTGGAGCATTAGGCTGAGCAAGGGTACAAGGAAAAAGTGAAAGCACACACTTCTCCTGTGACATGGAGTTGAGTAGTTGGGATGCCTGTAGTTGAGTTCTTGGGATGGAAGTCATGTCTGCCAATCAGGCAACAGTGGAGACAGCTTGTAGTCTGACTGAGGCAGCGTAACGCTGGGACCCAAGAGACCCAGGTTCAAATTCCCACT